CTTGGAAACTAACAGGGGATCCCCTTGGCAATTAACTGGAGTCTTCCAGGGATGGCAACCCGATTAATTACCGAATAACCTTTCCTTAAACCCCATCTTTTAAAGGTTCTATTACCTCCAAATGTTGCCATATTGGGGACCAAGTTTCCAACACATGAACTGTTGTTCAATTTTGACAGTTTTTTGAAAAGCAGACACTGAAAGAAAGACTGGGTGCTGGGGATATTGCAGATGAAAATGCAGACAGTCCTTGACTCTATGGGGTATCAAGGGAAGACAGACAAGTTGAGTGGCAATTGCTCTCAGTTTGGACAATGCTGAGGAGGTGCAGAGGAGCCCTTGGTTTCCTTGGGAGGTGATCCCAGGAAGCACAAGTGAGGGAGTGGGGCAAGTGAGACAGGGGAAGGTTGGAAAGCCAACAGAAGCTGTGTTACTGAGTGGGTTGCTGCTGTGGACACCTGGGGCTCAAATTCACTGGGGAACCTCAGGAAAATGTGTAGAACACAGCTTAAAATGGCTCCTCCAAGGGATGGGAAAGCTGGGGTATTATCTGCCAATTCCCATCACTCATTGGTTGAGGGTTGCCCCTGTGGGCCTTGAATCCCCTTCCACACCTCTTTGTGCACAGACTGAACAAGCTTCAGTATGGCCAAAGGCCCTTAGCAAATCTCAAGCAGCAGAGAAGAGTGTTTGAGATAGACACTGTCATAGTGCTACCAGAAGTGTCCACTATATCTTAGGTGGACTCAGGTCAGCAAAGGGGACGTGGGCAGTAGTATCATATCTGCTATAGTGGAGTGAAAGAACCATGAAGCAATATTTGAAAGGTAGAATGAATAGATCTTGATTGGAGGTTGGGAGTAAGAAACAGGGTGAAGTCTTAAAGCGACTTCTGTATTTTGAGTTTGTGTTTGCATTTATTGAGTTTAAAACACTTGCCAGAGGGATGGTTGCCACAGTCTGGCTGGGCACAAAATCATGAGCCACTCAAGCAGGAACAAACTTTATTTCTGAAACTCCCGCCAATGCCACGCAATGTCCCGGGAAATATGCCGAACTGGCGTTCTCCCAGGCCACACTACACCAACAGACAAATCCCTCCTCCGGAAATCCCTCCTACTGCACTTCCCCAACCAATGGGAACTCTCTGGGAGTCCCACTAGAGCTCCAAAGTAGCAGGCCAAGGTGGACAGCAGGGGTCTAATATCCATTTGAATGCAGATCTTAACATAATCATATCATCTCAATGGCTTGCTGGCGTCACCTTTCAACCAAAAATGCCATGCATCATTCCTACTTGGCTATGGCTCTCAGCAGATGGTGTGGGGTTCGTGGTGGCAGGAAGAGACGATTTTCCTTTGGACATGCTGAGTTGGAGGTGTCTGTGATATAGCCAAGTGTCATATGGGGTTGGCAAATGGAATTCTCCTGATCCTGTGTTAAACTGTGCAGGCTTCAACTTGACATGTTGAAATCCCTTAAACAGGGTTTGTGGGAGCAAGTTCGAACTCTGATAATGAATGAAGATTTTTCTCCCTGCTAAAAGAGCACATTTAATATGGTGGCTTAAGTGATGGTTTTAAAAATAGCCTGGTGTCTCCTTCTACCTGCTGTTCACTTATTAGTTGATTTTGAACCTGTTGAATTCTGCTGCAGATTGTCTCCCTTTGAAGAAAGAAGTAATAAATACTCTTTGAGTGATTGCGTAGCTATTGAAAACCAAGACAACGTTTTCAAAGCTCTCTTGAGTTTTTGCAGAGCCCAGTGGTCCTTCGAGTATTTCTTTGCTTCAATTTGCTTTCAAAACTTGCAGCATTTCCAATTATACTGTTGCTACTGAATTCAGTGCTAAAGTGAATATGCTTGTTTTCTAAATGGAATTTTTAGATAATAGAAGCTTATATTTGCCAAGCGAATAAGCCTGATGGCCAGCTAATTGTGGCATGGAACTTATCCTGATTTACTTATATATATATATATTCTCCCTTCTCTCTATAGGCATATATATTTGCATTTGGAGACATGCATCCTGTTTTCATTCTATTTCAGAATGCATTTTTCAATAGATGTTGAAACCACTTACATTTTAATTTTCTGAAGTGGTTTCTTTGATGGATATTTTATTATAGGAAGAAGTGTAGGGCGTCCAAGTCAATGGGGCTAGAGACAAAGATGTGAAACAGGTGAAGTCTGGCTTTAGCTTTCTCTTTCAAGGTGACTTATATTTTCCCTGAGGCCCTTCCTATATCCCTGGCCTCCACCTCCAGAGAGGTATTTTTGTTGCCATCACAAACCTGTAACACTTGTGAGTTTATATGTGATGTTCACTTCAGCCTGCTTGTTTGTGGAGTATTGAATACACATGAGGCTCTAGTTTACTTGGTGAAAATGGAAGAAGTGGAGAGGAAAACAGGGTCAGAATGAGGCCAGACATCCTGGGTCCATTTCTTCCTTAGTGGGTGGGACTGTGCTGATAGTTAAAGTGGAGGCTGGTGTCAAAGTGGGGCACGGAAAGGGGAAAAAGCACAGGGTGTGGTGAGAACTTACCATAGGCTGGGCTTTGTCTTAAATGTCCTGCATTTATATTATCTCATTTATTTTAATTAAACAATACATTTTCTTAAAAATATACTTGAGAGTAAGCATTTCTAGAGAAAAGCAGAAAGCCTCTCCCATGCAGCTCCTGTTTCTCTGAGGGTTCCTGCTGCTGGTCCCTAGGAGAGCTTTCCTCTCCTCATTTTTGTTCAAACAATTTTAAGGGTTGAGCTGTATGTCTGATTTTTGTAAAGGTTCCAGGCTGAAGCAAGGCCTTTTAGTGGTCATTTCTCTAAGGGGAAAAAATGAAACAGTGAAGTCATAGAGGTTGTGAATCCCTAATTTTTTGAGCAGTAAAATAGCTTGCACAGTACAAAATAAAAAAAGAAATGAACATCATTTTACTTTTGAAGGATCCAAACAGCAAATGCAGAGAGATTGGCTGCTTTTAGATTGCAGGATGGGATTATTCATTTGTCCCTCTGCTCTGACTGACTCAAACATATAGCTTCAGATCAACCAGGGGGTCTCTCCCACCAGGCCTGATCATTCTGGTAACCTCTCTAAATCCTACATTTTCTTTGGAACTGGAGGCCTGGGTAGCCTGAGATTGTCAGGCGCATGTGCAGCTCAGTCGCCTGCAGAAACTGCTGCACTTTTGCACAGGCCGTGGGAGGCAAAGCGCTTGTGTGTGCCCGACCTGCTGTTTAGCTTGGAGCCACCACTGGTTTCAATTATTACTTCAACAGGCAGCTTTGAGGGCTCCTCTATTCATTACAGTGCCTCACACTCTATAATTAGTAATAAAGGAAAACAGGCACTTCACAAATATAAAGGACTAAACAATAACCAGGCAGTAAAGGCCACACACTGGGACTTTTTCACCTCTTTGTTTCTTTGAGTTAAAAAAAAAAAAAAAAAAGCCAGCCAAACTTCTTTCATTGCTTTATTTTATTTTTCATTCTGAGAACTCTGGATTAGAATCTCACCCTGGCCACTTATGTACATTTTTGTTGTTGTTGTTTTGATGGTACTAGGGATAGAATTCAGGGCCTTGTACATGCTGAGCAAATATCCCACCACTGAACTGCAGCCCCAGCCTCAGGCTACCTGTGAGCTGAGTGACTTTCAGCATTTTATCTAATTTCCTTGTGCCTCAGTTTTCTTATGTAAAATGGAGTTAATGATGGTTCTCCTCGCATGAAGGAAGTTTGAGGATTAAATGAGATAATTCACACAGAGTGCTTTGCAGAGAGCTCTGTTTGTATGTATAAAAGCTTGTTCAGTAAATGTTAGCTTTCATTATCATCATCATCATCATCATCATTTTGATTTCAAATGAAATGCATAGAAAACAGGCATAGGTGTCTTGACTATCTTTTGAAAATCTTCCATTATGCACATTTTCAAACACAAACACAAATAGACTGTAAGGGTAGTTACGCCACGCCAACATGTATCCATATTACTATTGACAATTATTGTTTTATCAGTCTTGTTCGACAAAGCCCCATCTTTTCTTTTCTTTTTTCTTTTTTTAGTTGTTGATAGACCTTTATTTTATTTATTTTATATATGGTGTTGAGAATCGAACCCAGTGCCTCACACATGCCAGGCAAGTGCGCTACCGCTGAGCCATAGCCCCAGCCCCGCCATATTTTCTTTTCCCTAGAATATCTTCAAGCTTGCATCTCCTCATTTCACCCATAAACTTCTTTTTATTTTATTTTTTTCCCCAGTGCTGGGGATTGACTCTAGGCCTTGTGTATGCTAGAAATGTGCTCTCTCATTGTGCTATGCCCCCAATCCTTTTCCTTGTCTTTTTGATACTGACATTTTACCTGATATCTCCTAGAGATAGTCTTCTTCACTTCAAATCCAGGTTCATAAAGGAGTTACTGGCTACAAGTAAAATCTCTACATATGTTAGTGAATGAACAACTCATACTTAGCTTTCCTACAGTTTTTTTTTTTTTTTTGTGTGTGTGTGTGTGTGTGTGTGTGTTGGGGATGGAACCCACAGTCTTGTACACCTTAGGTAAGTGCTCTGAACTAAATCCCCAACCCTTCCTTTTAATCCTCGAGACAGAGTCACCCATGTGGTCTCAAACTTGTAATCTTCCTGCCTCAGCCTCCCAAGTACCTGGAACTACAGGCATGTACCTCTACACTAGGCCTTTTCTCCACTTTTTGATGATGCTTTAGAAATATGTGTTGAGTGAATAGGTGAGGGAAAGGATTTTATAGTGATCAATGTATATGGAGATGTATATATTTTATACAATCAACAAATATTTTAAATTCTTGTCTGAGATTTTGTAATACTTGAAATCCCACAGGATTAATATTGCCATAAACAATTATAATGCCCAAATAATTAGCACTTGAAAGAAGATTTAATCCTGGCACCAAAATTATTAGTGAATATCTGACTATAGACAATTTCATGAAAAGCAATGAGCAGATTCTTCAAACACATGACAAATCCTTTATTACTGTGCTTATAAGTGACACGGTTTACAGAAAACCAAATGTAATTAAATAACATTGAACTTGAAATCTACCACAGACTCAAGATATACAAGTTATACTTGGCAAGGCAAACCTTCTCAAACACTAGGTCATTTCTGGTGAAAGATAAATTTCCATTGAGTAATTCCAACATGTTTTGTTTTTTTTGTCTTACAGACAGTTCCTTTGGCAATAACTTCCACTTTAGCTTTTATTATATAAAAATATAACAAAATTTCATTATATACAAACATTACATTACACAATGTACAGGTTAAAAACACTAAGAAAATGGCAAGCTGCAAGTGAAATTAAAGTCAATAGCATGATAAGAAAAATTAAATACTGCACACATTTCATAAAAATTACATTAACTACATTTTTGTTTGCAAATACCAAACAGTACCAATGTGATTGGAAATAGCTTCCAACAACTTCATTTTAAGGCACATCTTGCATATTTATATATACAACACTGAAACCGGTCAATAACTTAGGGGCTTCTCGGAGTGACCTGTATATGTGTGTGAAGACATGCAGCATGGGATTACACATTTTCATTGGCTCCCTTCTTTGGAGACAGGTATCTTCCAGGAGGGGACTGGTAGAGGGGTACCCCAATCTCTTGAAGATCTGGGAGCCTCCCTGGACGAGGAGGGGAGAGGAGAGTGACTGTCCTGTCATAGTCTCTGTGCAGCACTTTCTCATAGACACTCTGCAGTCCCACTGTCTTGGGCAGCTGGGCCTGGTAGTAATTGTCCCTGCGCAGAGGATCCCGAGGCAGGGACGTGCTCTTACAGAAGGTTGACATCTGGGCTGGTGGGTGAGGTGGGGGATGCGAGTTGGGCCCTCCACAGGATGGGCTCCAGCAACGGTCGGAGTGGCCCAGGATCTTGCACTCAGCAGTGCATGCCCACAGTCCTGTCATAAAAAGGGAAAGAGCATAATGATTATTCCCGAGGTTACACACACCCAAGCCTCCATGTTCAGAAGAATGCCAGCCAGGTTCAGGGTGATTGAAAAGAAAAGTGTGGATAAAGATGAACGGTGTGATTTAAGAACTGAAAGGCACATTGCTTCCTGTAAAGACGTCTTTACACAAAGCTCAGCCCAGCTTCTTTCGCTGGAAGAAAAAAGAAATTGATAAGCTGAATTCCTTTCCTAGAAGATTGGCATCATCTCTGCTTATTCCTAACAGGATGGGGGGGGTGCCTTTACTTGGCATGTTGAAATTCACTATGAGGCCTGGATTCGGAACGGGAGGAATAAAAAGTGGGAAAGAGGGGGTGGGTCCAGGAACCGAGATTGAGAGGAGGCAAGAAATGGAAGGGAAGGAGGAATGGGGTGGTGGTGGTGTGTATGATGGTGGTGGAAGAAGAGTCCTCACCACTCTGCATGTGGTTGATGAGATCCTTTTTTAGAGCGTCCCCGCTGATGTCGGAATCGCTGTCGTTGAAATCACTGTCCCCTTTGCCGCTGTCTTTGCCGCTGAACTTCTCCGCTTCTCTGCCGGAGATTGTGTTGAAAGAGTGTCCCTTCCAGACCGCCACAGGGGGCGCCGGCTCCTTTCCGAAGCCCGGGGAGGCACCGTAGGGCTGCAGCGAGGAATGGGGGAAAAGGGTGTGAGGGTTGGACAAGAAACAAAGAAGCATGTGGGATAGTTTAAGAGTCCCACTGCCAGAGCCCACCCCTACCCCTCGACTCCCTTCCCCCAGCCTGTCCGCGGAGCACGGAGAGGGGCGCCCAGCCAAAGGAAGGCCTCACCTCGGCGTGCGCGCCGCGGAGCCGCTGCTGCCCCTCGAAGTGACAGGAGCTTTCCCCAGTGGCGCTGCCGCCCTCCGAGCCCGGCACTTCGGCCGCGGCGACCGCGGGCGGGGGCGCGTCGGCCGCGGGGCTGCCAAAGGGCGCTTTGCCGCTGCCAGGGAAGGTGAGCACGTCGAACATGTTGGGCCTGGGCCCAGCTCCCCGGGCTGTCTCCTCCGGGGAGCCGGGAGCCGAGGCTCCGCCGCCCGCCGCCCCGGGCCGCTCTTCCCGGAGGGGCCCCCCTTTGCGCACCTCCTTCTTGCGGCGGTTGCAAGTGGTAGCGATGGCGATGATAGCGGCCAGCAGTAGCGTGCAGCTCCCGGCCAACACGATGATGACAATCAGCGGCGTGTCCCATTGCAGCGCCGGCCCCGACGCCTCTAGCCGAGAGCCAGGCGGGCGGGAGTGCTCCGGGCTCCCTACACTGGCAGGCACAGCCGGCCCGCGTCCGCCGCCGGCTGTTACCACGAAGCTGACAGTTGCTGTGGTGGAGAGAGGTGGGCGGCCGCCGTCGGATATGACCAGCAGCGCCCTAAACACGCGGCCGGGAGGCTCCTGCGAGAGGTCTCCGGTGAGCACGATCTCCCCCGTGCGGCGGCCGATGGCGAAGACTTCGCGTGGCTCCTGCTGCTGTAGGTCGAATGACAGCTCCCCGTTGGCGCCCTCATCAGCATCCCGGGCCTGCACGCGCGCCACAGCCGTGTCCCTAGATGTGCGCCCGGGGACTGCTACTTCTAGAGTGCCGTTTGCTGGCGCTGGGTGCACCAGTACCGGCGCATGGTCGTTCTGGTCCAGCACCCGCACTTGCACGAGAGCACTGCTGGAAAGCTGAGGGGAGCCGCCGTCGCTAGCTTGGATGCGCACGTCGAGCTGGCGCAGAGTCTCGTAGTCGAAGCTGCGCAGCGCGTAGATTGCTCCTGTAGCGGGGTCCACTGAGACGTAGGTAGACACTGCGTCTCCGGAGCGGCCCACTTCAGCCTCTAGCAGCCTGTAGGTGACCTGGCCGTTGCGGCCCAAGTCCGGATCCCGAGCAGCCACGGTGGCCAGGTAGGCTCCAGGAGGGTTGTTCTCGCGCACCGACACCTCATAGACTGGCCGCGTGAAGAGTGGCGCGTTGTCGTTCTCGTCGCCCACACGCACAGTATAGGGCCTCACAGTGCGCAGCGGGGGCGCGCCACGGTCCTCGGCCACTAGCGTCAGATTGTACTCGGCGATGCGCTCACGGTCTAGAGAAGCTGCTGTCACTACCAGGTAGCTGCCTGCGTAGGCCGGCTGCAGTCGGAAGTGCTCGTGCCCATAGAGGGCGCAGCGCACCTGCCCATTGGCGCCCGAGTCCCTGTCCGAGGTGCTGACCAGCGCCACCAGGCTCTCGCGCGCCGCCCCCTCAGGCACCAAAGAGGTGGCGCCGGCCTCCTGAGTCCCTGGACCAGCCGAAGAGGTCGCGTCCGTCCCCCCGAGTGCGGCGGCGGCAGCGGCGGCGGCGAAGGGCGAGGCTGCTGGCGCTCCCGGGGCCGCGAGCGGGGTAATAGCGATGTCGGGAGCGTTGTCATTGACGTCGCGGATGCGCACGATGACCTTGCAAGTGGCGGCCCGGGGACCAGGGCCTCGGTCCTGCGCCCGCACGTCCAGCTCATAGGTGTCCTGGCGTTCGTAGTCTACGGGTCCCGCCAAGGTGAGGCGACCCGAGCGCGGGTCGAGCCGGAAGAGGCGGCGCGCTTCGGGTGGGGTGCGAGCGCCGAAGGAGAACACCACGTCGCCGTTGGGGCCCTCGTCGGGGTCCGCCGCGTCCAGGTCCAGCAACAACGAGCCCACCGGAGCATCCTCTGCCAATTCCACCTCGGCCACTGCGCCCTGAGGGAAGGCTGGGCTGTGGTCGTTGGCGTCCAGCACACGCACGCTGAGAGCTGCGGTGGCAGAGCGCGGGGGGCGCCCGCCGTCCTGGGCCACTAGCTCCAGGCTGTAAGCGGCCTGGCTTTCGCGGTCCAGCTCCTGCAACAGCACCAGATCCGCGCACTGGGCGCCGTCCGCACGCGTCTGCAGCTCCACTCGGAACGGGCTGTGTGGCTCAGCTAATCGCACACTCTGCAGCCCATTGGCACCCACGTCCTCGTCCACCGGCACCTCCAGGGGGATGCGCGTGCCCACCGCCGCACCCTCGGACACCTCCACTGGAATCTGGGCCCTGGGGAAGCGCGGCGCATGGTCGTTGACGTCCCTCACCTCCACCTCCACGTGCACCAGCCGGAATTGCTCCTGTGAGAAGCTGACCACGTCGAACGCCAGCACACACTGCGGGGCCTGGCCACACAGTCGCTCGCGGTCCAGGCCTGCGTCCCCGACGGTCAGCTGCCCGTCACCCTCGCGCACCCGAAGCAGAGAGCTGTTGAATTGCTTCATCAGGCGGAAGCTTGTGTCTCCAGATACTTTCATATGCAGGTCCTCAGCTAGGGTCCCGATGACCGTGCCGGGGGCATCTTCCTCGAAGGTGCTGTATCGGACTGTCTTGCTCTGGGCCACTGAAAGCACCCAGCAGAGGCTAAAGAGCTGCAGGGGGAAAAGGCAAGGGCTGCCCCAGCGCCTCACAGAACTCATGCCGCTAGCTCAAGCGCTATTTCAAAATGCTACGGAAGATCGTCTTCTCTGGTTTGCGGCAGGTTCTGCCGAGAGTCCCCGGCTCCCGGGAGCACGCTCTTTTGCGAGCCCTGTGCGGGAGAACTCCGTGGGTTGCAGCTCCGGCTCAGGCTGGCTCTGAGGACGAGCGGACCCGCCCTCACTCAGCGCCTCTCCCTCCCTTCTCTTGGCAAGAGCTGCGCCGCCGCGAGCCGCCTCCGCCTTTGTAACCGCCGATATGCAAATCACCCGAGCCGGGCAGCCAATGGCCGCCTTACCCTAGCGCCGCTCCTCCGCCAGCCTCTGACAATTCTTTTAATGTGGAAAGGCTTAGAGGAGAAAACAAGAAAGGAAAAGGAGGGGGATCGTTCCTTTGTTTTTAAAACTCCTTCCCCCCGCCTTTTTTTTTTTTTTTCTTTTTTTGGTCAGCACTCTGCTTGTAGAGGAGTTGGCGCAAGGTTCCGAGGGTAAACGCAGCGGGTGGTTTTGTTTGGTGTGCGCCCCGCACCCTTTCTCCAGTGCCGATTGCTAAAACTAAGTGCCAAGTAGCTCGGGTTTCTCCCCAGTGGCTCGGGATTCTCCCATCCCTTCAGACCCCCACCCCCACCTCCGCCCAGCCACCGGTTTCGTTTGGCACCTCCGAGGCTTCCAAACTTGCTCTGCCAAGTGAGGCTCTGATCACCTTTCCCAGCTCCCCACAGCGCCTGGAATAGCTTGTCGATGAAGAAGCCTGAAGGATAAAGGAGAATTGATTTTATTCAAATTTGTATACAGAATTGTGTTTTGCTCGTGTGAGCCCTGGTGATCAGAGCTGCCACTTTCCTTTCAATAAAGAGCACTACGATATGTTAGTATGCATGTCACTGTCCAAATGGCTTTCTTAAGCCTTGGGCGCTAGCAGGCAAGGAAAAAAAAGTTCCAAATAGGATTTAGCATAAGCTTGAGGAGATTTGGAAAGGTTTCAAAGATCAGACTGTATCAAAGGCTTATGAAGCCCTCGTTAGCAGTGGAAATAGAATGGCGTGGCAGGCGATCCCATTGGAGGCCCCAATGTCTGTATTATTTCACTGTGACAAGCTAAGGGGAGAGAAAGTTGAACAGTTTCCACAGCGGAGTTGGGCTAACTTGAATATAACGAGCAAACGCCACATGTATCCATTATGTTCCTCTATTCATCCACAATCACTGCCATAACTCTCGGGCTAAACGGTGATGGGGGCTGAATTCCACACAATACCGGGTTCGTATTAGAGAGCATTTAGAGAACTTTCCCTCCTGATGCCTTGTTCCGCCTATTTAGAGGATTTTCTTTCTGTTCTAATAGGGCCACTCTGGGAAGCAACACTCGTCCCGCTCCAGAAGAACAAAATCACAGCATGACGTTGAAACCTGGCACGAACCTGGGGGGACTTAACCATCTGCCTAGGAAAGTATGGAACTTCGGCATTGCCAAACTCCAGGCGGAGCAGGTCTTCCTGCTCGCACAGGTATTCACAGGTATTCTCCCACCCCTGAGGGCGAGGGTGATGGGACACCATCCTGGAAGAAGACAGATTCTTATCTATTCTTACTGAAGCTTTTATTGAGCACACTATGCAAATTCATAAGAAAGATGAGTTAAAAATAGAAGTCACACATTTGAAGAAATTTTTTGTTTTTGTTTTTAAGGCCATGGGTTTGATAAGCAGGTTGCAATCAGTCAACCTCTTCCTGATTTTGGGCCTGTTGCCAACATCCTATCCATGTTTTCCTTACATTCGAATTCAAAGGAATGGGTTTGGACTTTTTTTTCAGAGGAGGAGCAGGAATTTCCCCAGAAAGATCATGCAGGGAGCCAGGTGGGCAGTGGGGTGGAGGAGAATAAGAGAGGAGTTGGGAACTGCCAAGAGTGGAAAAATGCAATCCCAGGCTTCAGTAAATAAAAGCTTGCAGGAGATTGGGATGGGTGTATGGTGGGTGGCTTGGAGCTTCCTCAGATCCTCTAGGTTCTCTTCTGTGTCACCTTCACCTTGTCACCTTATCTAAGACCAGACATCTACAGCCACGCGGGGACGTGTGAAGGACAATGCCCCTACAAGAACGCAATTTCCAGCCAAGAAGGCTTCCCTCCCCCAAGTGATTTTTAATATCTGGCTCTTGCCCCAGTCCCGCCCAAGAGACATTACTGGAGTGGGGTATATACAGCCCAGAGAATTTCCTGTCTTCCTTCAGAACCCACTACAGCATTCCCATCCAGTGTGGAGTCTGCTGTTGACCTTTGGCCCTCCCAGGCTCACTCCCTCAGTTCTCGCTCCCCCTGTCGGTTCAGAGGCGAACAGATTCAGAACTGCGCGGTTGGACAGCGGTCTCTAAGCTTCCGCTCTGGTAACCCCCGAGAGATCTAGTCCAGTCACTGCTCTTAACTAGGCTGAGAACAACTCCCCGGTCTGAGCAAGCAGGGAAGGGGGCAGTTGTGCAAGAGTCGCGGAGAAGGGGTGGGCAGCCACTTGCCCAGAGCAAGTGGTAGAAGTGGGACACTAAGCCATCGCACCCGGCGCCCCCCGCCTCTTAAAATTCTGGCCTGGACCGCGGGAGATGGGCTCCGAGAGAACTCCGCTCCCCTCCCCACCTCGGCGCTTCCGCAACAGCATGCTCTTTCTCAAGGCGGAAATAAAGAGTGCTTGGAAGGGAGAAAGGGAAGAGTGGACCCGAAGCTGGCAAAAGCCGAGCCGCGGGAGGAAGGCGTGGGGAGGCTTGTAGCAAGTTCAAAGCCTTTTATCAGCAGCTTGGTCCTTGGCCGCTGGGAAGTGGCAGCGACCGCGGCGGCGCCAGGAAGCTGAGAGCCGCGAGCGCAGAGCCCAGAGCCCTGGGCGGGGAGCTTGGGGAGGACAGGCGCGAGCTGGGCTGCAGCGGCCGGCGCGCAGAGGTCTAGCCGAGCTGGTGGTAAAGGTGTGAAGGCACGCGAACAGAGTGAGCTCCCGGCCGGCAGCCTGCAGCCGCCTGCTACGGAAATACGATTTAATATAGCGCATCAGCGACCACAGCAATTCCCCGGGGAGGAAAAATGTCCGGGGAGGGGAGGAGGGCGGTTGTGGGGGGAAGGGAGGGGAGGTCGCCCGCCCCAGCGCTGATCCCACCCAACAAAAGCCGATCAAATCGCCTTGTTATCATACCAAAAGGCCTGGGCAAGCTCAAAGGAGCCCCTTTCTCTTGGTTTTAGCAACTTTGCGGGCAACCGTCTTGCAATTCTGAGAACAAACACAGCTCCACAATAGCCAGCGTTTTCTCGGAATGCAAATGTTGCAGGCTCCGCAAAGCTGGGTTTCTGTTACGGAGCCTAATGGCGGCATTGTGAAACTCGCGTGCAGACACCGAGATTGACACGGGTGTCACGTGATGGATTAGGGCTCTAGGAAAGTTTTCAAAGCGGCGACAATGGGGGGCTCAACCTGATCTGATATCTCCCACAGTTTAGCGGGAAAGAAAATCAGGATATATTCTCATATGTAATAGGATTATCTTTTCCATTTCAAGTTCTATACAGCATGTAATTTATTTTTAATCAGGATTATATCTACCAGGAAAGGGAACTAGACTTCGCTGGAAAGTGTAATTCTAAGGATGGATGGAGAGAGGAGTTATTTTTTAACCTTTTAACTATTTATTTATTTATTTAAATAAGGCAGGGCCATGGTTTTTCCTTTTACAGCTCACTCCATTGAATAAACTTCCCAAGGAAGTTTTCAGCAAGTGCTTGGTCAAACAAAGAATAGAAGCAGTTCTTTAGGGACATTCAGTTCATTCCTGTAGAGACACTGCATTTTCCAAAAATCTCTTAGAATTCCTAAATTTCTGGGTTTTACTGGGTTTGGTGCTCTCCGAAATGCAACGAAGCTCTTTTCTACTCTCCAAATACTTATTTTCAAAAAAGTTCTCTGTTTATTGGGCTGTCAATACTGGCATAGTAACTTTTACATTTTTTATTAAACTACAGAATGACATTTACTATATCTCTGATTCAAACTCAGCTGTCAAGACAATGAGATGATTTGGGGGTGAAGGTAACTGTTGTTTAAACATTGATTTTGGATTTATCCTAATACCAGATGCTCACAAATCCTGAATCATTTCCAGGTCATTCAGCTTTTTGTGTGCTCTGTGTGTCAGGAGACTGGGAGACCTGCTTTACCTGATAAGAAGCAGAACATGGTGTTGACTCCAGTCCATAAAATCATCCTGCTTGAGTTAAAATCTTATCAAAGATTTGCTGTGTGACTCTGTGCAAGTTACTTGATCTCTGTGTATCTTAATTCCATAATCTGCAAAATGGGGGTATTAATAGTAACTGTTAAGGTTTTCTTGAGGACTGTGTAGAAGATAAAATATCAGGTGCTTAGGAACACATGTTAGTTATTACTTTAAAGCATAGGGAAGGAACATCAGAGACTATGCAATCTAAATCTCATATTTTATAGGCAAGGGATTTGTTTAGGAAGGAAGAAAGAAAGAAGGGAACTTATTCCTAGTCTGCTTCTTTGCTTCTGTTTTTCTCTTCCCTGGAAATAATAAATATGGCTGTAGGTGTATAGATCCCAAAGGAAAGAGAATATGGTCATGTGAGGGTTCAAGCAACTTTCTTGCCCTCCTGTCATTTCAAAATCTTTTGGTATCTTACTCTCTGGATGAGATCAGATGAGGACTAAAAGGAGTTTTCAGTAGACTTTTCCCCCTATTCATTTCAACAAAATTCATGCATCATGACTGAAACCACATACAGATAATAGACATTTGATGGATAGCAACCCATAATTCTGAAGGAGCAGGAGTTTTCCTAAGGAATTTTTCTTCTAGGATGCCCAGGAGCAGAAAGTGACTTCCTATGACCTATGTTGAATCAATGTATAAAAAATGTTTGGCCCTGTGCTTCTCTGTATTAGTCTGCTAGAGCTGCCATAACAAAATTCCACATACCGAGTGGTTTAAACAAGAGAAATTTATCTTCTCTTGGTTCAGAAGTTCAAGATCATGGTGTCTGAGGCCTTTCCCCTTGGCTGGCAGATAACTGCTTTTCTCTGTAGTCTTCTTTTTGTGTGCAAGTAATAATATTTCTTCCTTTCCTTAAAGACACACTGATCATATTGGATCAGAATCCATCTTGATGACTTTACTTAACCTAATTATCTGTTTTAAAAATCCTGTGTCCAAATATAGCTACATTCT